TTTCCCTAACTTTGAAATATACATATTTGTATATATAGCCTTAAAACTAATGCAGAGTTAGGGAACACTGAACAGTGAAAAAGTAACTTATAGTGTCTTGGAACTAAGTATAGTATATACCAGCAAACTTTTCTTTTATCCCTCTTGTCTATGTGGGGTGCTTAAACGTAACTTCATTGTATTCAGTTTGTAATCTGTTCAAGCATGAATGAAGAAAACATAAGCACTATTTGTATTTATAAATTTATAGCAATTTTTGCTTAAAGAACCAATTCCTTACCTACCTATGAATAAATGCTTAAAATGTCTAATTTTGTTGTAGAGTGCAAAACTATAATAATGTTAAGTTATAGCTTCACAGGCACCTAATTAACAAGCATATTTAATAATACATGGTGTATTAGTGCAAAAAGCTAAACTTAATTTAGGATGAGGCAGATAAAGTTCTGTCCTTTTTCGTAGAGACTGAAGTTTAGTTTTGGAAACTGCAAAACCTTGAACTGGACTGTGGAACCTTTGAGTTTTAAACTTAAAAAATCGGAAGCGAAACTGTGGTGTGAAAAGCCATACTTCAAACCATAATCACTTAAACTGTCTCAGTGACAAAAGAGATTTGAAGCCTCCTCTTATGAGGTCTCCTAAAGGCTAGAAAGAAAATAATTCTGCTATTGCTACAGGCGATGTAACTAGGTTTGAGGGTAGCGGAAGAAAGCCTGTTTCAGGCCTTTCTCTCCCACCTGTTTTGAGCATTTTGATGAGGTCAGAGCACTGAATCTATTATGTATGCATAAACACTGCCATTTTAGATACAGATTTTGATTACGAAATATAGGAATTAAGTATATAAAGCATCCTAGAAAAGAGGCAAGCTGTACTTTTCACTGCTCTGAAAAGAAAAAGGCACTTTTGCACCTTTGTGCATCTCCTTCTTGCACCAGAAACTTTTTTTTAAATGCTAAAAACATTAGCACCTCAGGGGCAAGGCAGCAATTTTTCTTTTTTTTTTTTTTTTTAAGTATTGTGTGCTATTTATTTCCCTCTTGCAAAAAGATTCCTGTGTGACAAAAATGAAAATTGTGTGATGTTAAAGATGTATTTTTAAATACATGTTCAAATAGGATGGTCCCTATTTGCTTGTTTTTACAAAGGAAATGACATTTGTAAAGCTACTTTGCTTCGTGTGCCATGCAACTTTGTTTTCCTTCTACATTTGACAGCTTCACTGGCTTCAGTTTCTGTGAGTTTTGTTATAGTCAGATTAAATGTTTCACTGATCGTTCTGGGAGAATACCTGTACTGCTTTATAGACAACTGTTACAAATAATTCTCGCTAATTCAGCATTGAAATGTGTTCAAGACAGAGGCTTCTAAAATGTGTTTTAAAACCAGTCAGATTAACTAAATGCAATTACATTAAGGTCATAGATTTGTAAGGCTTTGTAAACCTGTTGTATCCAGAGTCCCCGGTACACATGGTGGGGCAGAAATCTGCAGGGCCGGTGCTGGTTAGGAAGGCAGGGCCTTTTAGCTGGCTTGCTCTTGCCTAGCCAGGAAGCGGCACCACAAAGACCTTGATGCGTGGCCATCATTCATGTTAATCTTCCAGCAGAAGTCAGAATCGGAGAGAGAAATTTCATCTGCTCATCATTAAACTATGCTGAATTGCGGTAATCCTGGGCTGTGTCATGCTAGCAAGATGCCTGATGGGTACTGAGCAGCAGATGAGCAATAGTTGCACTTACCTTGATCATTTGTGCAGGTGCCAAAGTATTTTAACATGTACTTATGATCAACTGACTTCAGCATCCATTAAATTGTTGATTGCAAAGCTGGTACTGTCTCAGCTGTACAGGTTAAAATCTGAGCCGTTTTGCTCAGTTCAAGAATTGGAAACTTGGAAAAAAGGTGATTTAACAAAAATAGGGAACAGTTTTCACTTCAATTGATTCCCTGATAAAAATCCCATCATAATTTGTTACACTGGGACAGGATAGACTTCCTATTGCGTTTCATTTTTTAGTGATTTATGATCTAAGGATATGGTTTCATGATCACCTTAAATCAAGACTAAACCGTGGCTGTAAGTTTGCCCCTCCTGACCTTTTTGTGCCATAAATCATGTGGCCATACAGTTAGGAGAGAAAAAACAAGATCTGTACTCTTCTGGTGGGTAAGTTGATGTACCAGCATCCCGTAGCTGGATTTAGGGCAAGATGCAGAGTGGGGAGCCAGGCCTGAGAGCAAAGGAATAGTTGTACCACCCCTCCCGCCCCAGGTTGAGGAACTGCACCCTAAATGCAGATTCGTTGCTGACGTCTAGGGATTATTGAAGCCTTTGCAGATCTTTCTCCACTCTATATACAAAACAAGCATTTCGCTTTGGTAAAACATTCTTTTTCTTAAAACTGGAATTGTGAGACTTTGGGTGGCATGTTGACTTGTGTATGCGTTCCATGCTGACAAATTTATTTTCTCTTTGCTTTCTCTGGATATATGTAGCTCTGGCCTGAGGGACAGACAGCATGGCTGCCAGAATTAGGGTAATGAGGTGGTTGTTACGTTTACCTTATTTCAGCGTACATCAGGATTTCATCATGCTGAGATGTTCACCTTCATCTCTACCTGCGCCGCCTTGAATTTTTTTATGCACAAATGAATTGGTATACTTCAATTTCTTGATATTTAAACTTGGCCATGTCCATACCAGGGTAACCTTTCATACCACGTTACCCTTTTCCTCATCCTTTGGCAAATACAATATTTTCGTAAAAACCTGATGTACTTTGCATAGGTTCAGAAACAGCAAAACTCTGTAGAGCTATAGAGCTGTACCTGGCAGTTTTCTGTAGAAAATGGAATTGTTCTTCTGTGCTGAGCTTCATGAGGTGTGAAAGTAATGTCTCCTAGATGACTGGTATAGCTCCTGTTCCTACAGCTATGTGTGTTTGAGATGATCATAGCCTGAGCCTTTGTATACCAAAACAGGCTGTAAAGGGTTTTTTAACTCTTTACATGGTAAAAAGAGGCTCCGCGCATGAATTTCTAGGATGCTGCAGTGCATAAAATGGATGCAATTCCTGCTATGAGCTGTAAAAATGGAGCAAAATTTACAATCTGAGGCTAAGTACTTTTGACTGACCTGTCTATGAAATATTGATTGGAGAATCGGATCTTCTGGTGAGCTCTTCCTGAGCTGTCTCTGTGGAGTGCCTGTGTGGTCTGCGATCTCTGCAGACTCAGGCCTGCACCTTCTGAACCTCCTCCTGGCCTTATTTTGCTTAATGAGGTCGCTTTGAGGCAGCAGTCTCCTGGGCAGTGGCATTTCTTCACAGAAGTTCAAGAAGCTGTAGGAAAACTTACAGATTTCTTTATTCTCGTGGAGTACTAAATGCTTTCAAGTGGAAAAAAAAAAAGATATACAGCATGCTAAAAGTTGAGTATACATAATCTCCCGCTGAGAACTTGTTTCCAGAAAAAGCTACCAATATTTCTATTTACTTGATATATGAAAAAAAAAATGCTTTAATCTCCTGATTGTCAGAGTTGTTGACCTATAGTGACCTGGGCTCTATGCATATTCCTTGCTTTCTCTCTGTTTTTGTTTGATGTTCCTTTTGAGTAGCAGTAGACCATATCTTCTCCCCCCACCCCAATGTGGACACTCTTCTAAAGTCTCTGCTTCCAAGCTAAGAGAACAGAAGTGATAACGATGTCTTAGGAGAGGCGTTTGGGAGAGGCTTGCTTAAAATGCAACAACAACAAACCCCCTAACCTTTGCAACCACAAAATTTGGGAAAGTGGGCTTAACTTTAAAAATGCCTTTTATAGACTTAATGAAATAGTTTTATTCTGAAAGTGTCAGAACTTCAGTAGAGGTGGGATGACAGGTCAGATTTCTAAAGTATATGTTGGTTTATGCCTAGCCAGATTTTTACACTTAACTTGTACTGATTCCTGCCCGAATGCTATCTAAAATATCACTAGACACCTACTTCTTTCTCTTATATCCCCCCCCCCCCCCAAAAAAAAAAAAAGAAAAACCCAACAATCCTTATTACTGTGTAACCAGCCATTTGCAAGGATGAGTGCTGTG